ATATATATATACATACATACATATGCATACATACACCCACACACGCACGTGCTTGCACGCACGCACACGCGCACGCAACTTATACACACACTCGTATGTGCCAGCAATAAACAAATGTAACATAACCTAAGCTATTGTGTTTACTTATTTTGTCGAATGACATTTCGTATGCTTCTGACAGATGCTCCTGTGGCTTATGTAACTTTGATGCTGTAGTCATTTCTTCATTTCACAGCATCACCTTATTTCGTTCTTATCGAAGATTTTCAGTTTTACTTTTAATTGGAGTAACCATCCTGGGTATAGTTTTCTTAAAAACTTTGTTCTAGAGAAGGAAAATAAAAAATATTGCCCAGGTGCCTAGAAGTCTTAGATTTTGTTATGTTTACATTCTTTTCTCTCATGAAGGAATAACTACTACTATACTACTGTAAAATTAACCGTATAATAATATACTAGTTAAAAAATAACTATAAAATTAAAAATTTCTTTGGAGTATTCTGAGCGCATCAACTTGGATATCTTTAAACTATCTATCTATTTAAAATTTAATACTAGTGTTGATAGCTGTGATTATTTTTTAACTATTAAACTTTTCAAGTAGCAAGTGACATCAAATAATGTCTTAATATTATCTTGATAACATCCTTAATATCAATAAGAAGTTATTAAAATATCATTTTGCTGAAGTTATTGATATAAAATTATTGTAATTGAGAAGAATACATAATATTCAATATACAAAATAAGAGCACTTCATGTATGAATTAGACATGATGATTTTATCACAAAAGGCTATAGAAAAATACTCTTTTTTTTGGACAGATTATACAGCAAATAGAATACTCAGTGCAGCTGGAGAGATACACCGCGAATACAAGGCTCAACTTCAAATGGCTCAGGAAGAAATGCGTCGTGAGAGGCAAGCTGAACAAATAGCCAGTGCAGCATTGATTCAGAAGATTCAGGCGGAAGATCAGTTGCTGTTCGCGCATTTGGCACAGGATCAGTTGCTAGCCAAGACCCTGGCGAAACAGCAGAAGGAAGCTACAAAGTGTTATAACGAATGCTTGACTACATCAGTGTCGAATTATGTTTATAACGAGTCCAAGTTAAACTGTAATACTATACGTGTAAATAATACCGAAGCGCCACGAACCGAAACTGCCTGCCTAGAAGGCAGGCACATGGGTCTTCCTGAGTCTGTCAAGGACCATTCAAAAACGAGACAAATGAATGTATTGTTATCCAAGATGTATTCCAATGTATGCAGCTCTAAGGAGATAAACGTGTCTAGTATGCATAAAAATCTGCCTACGTATTGTTGCCAGAAACAATTACCCGTTTATAACGCCATTGCGAAGAAGCATCAAACAGTATCCAAGTTTACCCAGCCTAGCACTTCAAATTATTCCACGGATCCCGGATGCTCCACGTCCAAGGTTTATGTAACGGAAACTAAGGAAGAGTTACGAATACCGAGCGATGTAGTGAACAATAAGAAAAAGAGTCTTGGGGTAGAAGTGTGCATGACACTGACTGACGACGACGAGAGGATAGGTAGCGCCGAGAGTTCTGGCAGTCACGACAGTATAAATCAAGAAATCCATCATTTCAAACCAATTAAGACAGCACCAAGAACAAAATTGCAAATTTCTTCAGGTATGTATTTATCAGAAAGAAAGAGAGAAAGAAATAATATTTGATGACATTTTGTCCGTAAAAGAAATCTTCTTTTATAATATTTACGTTGCATGTTCTCAGATGGAAAACAAATAGATCCGAAGTTGATTAGGGTGATCCCTATTTTAAAGAAAGCGTCTAATGCAGAGCCAACAGCTCCATCGCTGACACACATAAAACGTATTGGATGCTCTTGGAGCGCTTTCAAAGGTAAATTTTGAATGTTACATGTATTAGGTCTGTTCTTTGTCGCTGCTGGATTGCATTAAAATTTTATATTTCGCTTTTGTTAAATTTACAGACCTGTTATAGATATGTTTATGTATGACCGACTACATTCTTAATTAAAACTAATTTAAAACATCTATGCTTTTTTAAATTTAATTGTAAGATATTATTACAGGTAAAATAAAACAAGACGTAAAAGAAAAGCACGCAGCGCACAATCTGAAGGATAATACTACAGGGACACTGATTGATCAGAAACCATCGACGTCATTTGTTCATTCCCAAACGATTTCGAATAAGCCGACAACGAAGCCTCAGACAAATGATGCTATCCGCCGACTTGATTTCATACCCGAATCGTCATTTGATAGCAATAAAAATTATACGAAGAATTCAAATAAAATAATTAATGGTACTAAGGTGAGCAAGAAGTCGGATGATGAAGAATGGGACGCGAGGAAAACACGTAAATCCTGGAGACCAGTCATGCAAAATGGTATGGTAGCGAAATCTAATCGGTATAAAAATTTGCGGAGCAGCAGGAAAGAAACCAGGCTTACTGTGAATGTGATAGAAGAGGAGGATGATCCAACGAGCTCCAATCCATCATTCAATAAAACAAGCTCGCAAGACAACAAACGGGATGGCGACGATAACGTAGCCGTTGAAAATATAGCCGAACGAATTAAAAGGAGAAAAGAAAACGCAGAAATAAAGATATCGGAATCAGAAATGGAATCCAGTGTATCTAAAAGAAGTAGAACAACAACGAAGAAAAAAGCTATACTTGAGAGGATAGACGAGGATCAAGCCACGTTTTCGACGTCTCAAGATAGTACGGAGACTGACGAAAATTTCACTGGAAGGACGAAGCGACGAAAAATGAGCAAGAGGAAGTCTGCGCGAAACTCGACGAGGACCTCCTCCACGGCAGACGAATCGGATGGTAACAAGAGCAACAGCAAGTTCAATTACGACTCGCCGCCGGAGTCTTGCGATGAGATAGAATGCGTCTCGGAAAGTGAACGTCCCATGGACAAGTTCTTGGACAAGGAACTTATCGAGGAGCAACAACGAATCGAGCGAATGCTATTGCAAGAGCGGGCGGATTTCGAATTGGCGCGTCGCTTGCAGGCTGAGTATGACGAGATGGAGCAAATAGCCGGACGTACTCGACGTTCGAGAAGGACCATCGAAGGCGAGAGAAGCGTCAACGTGAACGCGCGTGAGATCAACGTGACGAGGACAGTCCGTAG